ATACCGGTTAGTGCGCAAAAAGCCAGTGAGCTAGCAGGTACTACCATCCCTCGAGGTGGATGGTATTTCCCAGAAGCCGGGTGGGTAAACCCTTCCTCTTTATGTTTAGAGCAACTCACACAAGCAGGGCCCAATCTAAAAACCTATTTTGAAAAACAGGTAGCTCAACTTATTTGGCATTCAAACAGATGGCATGCTTTAGATGAAACTGGATGTGTTATTGCGCATGCCCCTATTGCTATCTTAGCTAGCGCACAAGGCACTTCTAGCCTTTTAAAAGGGCTAAATACGCACCTGCCTCCCACGCAAAATATACGTGGCCAGATCTCCACCCTAGCTTGCCCTCCATGGCATCACTTAAACCTACCTATTATTGGAGATGGTTACATAACGCCATTACCAAACTCAGAGGGGCTGTGCAAAGAACTGCTTATTGGAGCTAGCTATGACCGGGAAAATTCAAACACGCAGCCTGATTTATCCAGTTATCACAGCAATCTAGCGCATCTTGCTGAGCTTTTACCTGATTTCATGCACTCCAAAAGTAATGAAACAGATCAAAGTAAGGCTTTGCAAAACACTGCACACGACGCCCGTTTATTACACGAGCAGGTTGGTTTTCGCTGTGCCAGCGTAGATCGCCTACCTTTGCTGGGAGCTATTTTCCAACAAGTTGCATGGCATCCCACCCAAGCATCTAATGCAGGGGCGCATCTTACTGATTTTCCACGATTTCCAGGATTATTAGGTGCCTGGGCGTATGGCTCACGCGGATTGATATGGGCAACATTAGCCGCTGAACTCATCGCATCTCAACTTGAAGGAGAGCCTTTACCTATAGAGCGTTCTATAACTTCTGCATTTGATCCAGCACGATTTTTTCTCAGACAATTCCGCCGCGCCTATACCGTATAAAAAGAGGCTGAAATGCTTTTACATTGCTTTTTTTCTTAATCACTGATGTTACGCAGGTATTCAACCAATAAATACTTACAAAACGCATTTTCAGAAAACCCTATTTTTTTCAGAAGTCCGCTCAGAATTTTCTAAAAAAATAAAAATACATAGCCTAACAAACAGCAGAACTGATCATATATTGTGGATAACTTTGTGGACAAGCTGTTTATAGTATCTGCATAACTCGGTATTTTACGAAAAACCTCAAAAGTTTTTATGGTTTATCCACAAGATATCCACAACTTATAAATGAGTTATACAAATAGTATCCTATTGATTTTAAAGGAGAAATTGCTCTCTCCCACAGAAATGTACTCCCTCTATTAGTTACTACTATATATATACATAACAACTAATAAAAAAATGTGTATTACTCATAAAAAACAAGATGCGAAAAAACTAGGTTCTATTCAAAAAAATCAGGTACAGTTCTTCACCTTAGTCTTTGAGCAGTGTATGGAGTATATTTTTGATGAATTCAGCCTTCTCATTTCTCCCTTCCTTTCTTACGGTTTCTAAGCTTTTCCCAGATACCCTCTTTTTAGTTGGGTTAATTTTTTTCTTTGCAGGATTATGTGGAGAGCTATGCTGGACACAGTGGCGCTTGCCACGTATTACGGGCTATGGAGCTGTTGGACTGATAGTTGGACCTGCCGGTTTAGACATTCTTGATAGCAGTTTGGTCAAAGAAGCTACGCTGTTGATGAGCATTGCTCTGAGTTTGTTGCTGTTTGAGCTTGGTAGTCGGTTAAGTTTTCGTTGGATTCGTATGAATCCGTGGTTAGTCATAACCAGCTTTACAGAAGCCATACTGACTTTTTGCGCCGTGCTTTTGCTGTTAAAAATAATGCGCTTTGAAACCACGACGGCTATGATTGCTGCGTCGATTGCTATTGCAACCTCTCCTACGATGATGGTGCAGCTCAAAAGCGAACTTAAAAGCGAAGGACAGGTAACAGAACGTCTGCTTATGCTTGCAGCACTTAACAGCATGTATGCCATTGTATTTTGTAAGCTTGCCTCGGTTTGCTTGCGACAGGAGTACTACGGCAATGTGCTAGCAACGATTGCTGAGCCTTTGTACTTTATCGTGGGATCGGTAGTGCTAGCCTTTGTATTGGCTCATTGCTGTAAATTTCTCTACCGCCGATTCAATATGCAAGACGAATACGCTTTCGTCATGCTGATCGGATTGATTTTAATAGCCCTTTCTCTGGTCACGGTATTAAAGCTCTCTATTACTCTTACGATGCTTACAGCGGGGATTATTTACAAAAATCTGGATGATCGCCCCAAACTGTGGCCTACCCACTTTGGCACGGCAGGATGGCTGCTTGCAGTAATTCTCTTTCTTGCCGCCCCACTCTCTTTTGAGTGGAAGTTTGTAGCTATTGGAGGATTAGGAGCCTTTGCCCTGGTAGTGGTTCGTTTTGGAGCTAAACTTGTTAGTGTGCTGGCTTTTGCCAAGCCAAGTGGTCTGAGCATAAAGCAAGCTTTTTCCTTAGGGATAGGGCTTATGCCTATGTCTGCATTGGCTTATCTTTTGGTAGAAGAGACGTACGGGCTATATCCAAGTTTAGACCCTACTCTGCGCGCAATGATGCAATGCGCCATTGTTTTCCTTCAAATTTTTTCGCCTCTGCTAGTGCACTGGGCACTATCATTCTGTGGTGAGCGGAGGCAATAAATGGAACAACTAGAGCGATTTAATCCTTCTAAGCCATTTACATTTGGTGTGGAATTAGAAATCCAGATAGTGAATACCTATGACTATGATTTGACCAAAGCTGCATCAGATATTATGCGGCTGGTCGAAAAAAAGGTGAAAGAAGAGGCATTACCTGGCGATATCAAGCCTGAAATTACAGAAAGCATGATTGAGCTCGCTACTGGCATATGTACACGCTATGACCAAGCGCTCAATGAGCTTGGCCAGTTGCGTGATGTATTAGTAAATGCGGCAGATAAACTCAATGTGAGCTTATGCGGCGGCGGTACGCACGGATTTCAGCAATGGCAAGATAGGCAAATTTTTGATTCGCCTCGGTTTTTGCATTTGTCTGAGCTATATGGTTATCTTGCTAAGCAATTCACCATCTTTGGGCAGCATGTGCATATTGGTTGCCCTGACCCAGACAGTGCGCTTTTTCTCCTACATTCCCTTTCTCGATATATCCCCCATTTCATAGCACTTTCTGCTTCCTCTCCATTTGTGCAGGGATTTGATACCGGTTTTCAATCAGCCAGATTAAATTCAGTCCTCGCTTTTCCTATGAGCGGGCGCGCGCCTTTTACCTTAACTTGGAATAGTTTTGAAGACTACTTCTCTAAAATGGTGGGCACAGGCGTCATAGAGAGCATGAAGGATTTCTATTGGGATATTCGTCCAAAACCTGAATTTGGAACCGTTGAAATACGCGTGATGGACACCCCTCTATCCATTAAGCGTGCAGCAGCCATAGCTTGCTATATCCAAACCCTTTCTCGCTATTTATTGCTTGATAAACCACTGACATTAAAAGAAGACGACTACCTGGTTTATACCTATAACCGCTTTGAAGCTTGCCGATTCGGTTTAGAAGGAATGAATGTAAACCCTGAAACAGGCGTGAGAAGAACGATTGCAGAAGATATTGAACACACACTCAAAGTATTAGAGCCTCATGCAGAGGCTCTATATTCGACAGAAGCGCTTGAAGAAATACGGGCAATTACACGCGGTCACAATAGTGATGCCGCGTGGCTAAGACAAATACATCAAAAAGAAAATTCCCTAAATGAAGTAGTGCGCCAACAATGCTTACGTTGGAAACAATAAGCAGGCGATTAGGATAAGGCACGAGCCGTAATTCCGCACTGCCCACGATGCCTCAATGCATGGTCGATTAACACCAACGCTAGCAAACTTTCCACAATAGGCGTTGCGCGTATTCCAACACATGGATCATGGCGCCCCAGTGTTTCCATAATTACAGGCTTACCCTCCATATCAATCGAGCGGCGCGGCACACGAATACTCGATGTGGGTTTAATAGCCAACGAAACAGTCAGATCTTGCCCGGTAGAAATTCCCCCAAGAATGCCTCCAGCGTGATTAGTCAAAAAACCTTCAGGCGTGATTTCATCGCCATGCTCGGAACCTTTTTGCTGCACACTAGAAAATCCAGTACCGATTTCTACACCTTTTACTGCGTTTAAGCCCATCATTACATAGGCTATTTCAGCATCCAACTTATCAAAAACAGGCTCCCCTAAACCTACCGGAACGCCACTTGCCACCACATTAATACGGGCACCTATCGAATCCCCTTCCCGGCGTAATGCGTCCATATAGGCTTCAAGCTGCGGAATAATTTCGGTATTTGGAGCAAAAAAAGCATTGTGCTCACGCATATCCCAATCCACAAAAGGAATATCAATAGGCCCAAGAGCGGCCATATAGCCTCGTATTTCTGTACCAAACTGCTCACCTAACCATTTCTTTGCAACGGCTCCTGCTGCAACTAAAGGAGCCGTTAAGCGAGCAGAAGAGCGGCCCCCACCACGAGGGTCTCGTATTCCATATTTATTCCAATAACTATAATCGGCATGCCCTGGCCTAAAAGTGTCGGTAATATTCTTATAGTCCGAGCTACGCATATCGGTATTACGGATAAGTAAACTTATTGGCGTACCCGTAGTTTTGCCATCAAATACCCCTGACAGAATCTCAACTTGATCCGCTTCTTGCCTTTGCGTCACATGGCGGGATGAGCCAGGCTTGCGCCGATCCAACTCACTTTGAATATCTGAAACCGATAAAACCAATCCCGGCGGACAGCCATCAATTACGCACCCAATAGCAGGACCATGGGATTCACCAAATGTGGTCACCGTAAAAAGCGTGCCGAGTGTATTTCCAGACATACAAAAAATCGCTTATCAATAGTAAAGATAGAAAAAATAATGCAAAAATATATTGTAATGTCAAGGCCAATTATTTTGTTAAGAAATAGAGCAGACGATTGACAGTACCGCAAGCAATCGACATAATCTCGCTCCTTGGCGAATTAGCTCAGCTGGTTAGAGCAACGGAATCATAATCCGCGGGTCCGGGGTTCAAATCCCTGATTCGCCACCAATAAAATAAAGGGTTCCAGCGATTTTACGTTTTCTGTGTAAATGCAAACGTGAATGGAATCTCTTTACCCTCATTATGCTACATCCAACATCCCATTTAGCCTAGCTGATGCTTGCGCCAGATGGCTCGCAGAAAAATGTGCGTAACGTCTCACCATTGAGGCCGATTTCTATCCCCCAAGTTCCTGTAACTCTGAAAGAGTGGTGCCTTTCATTGCTAACCAAGTCGCCCAGGTATGCCGCAAATATAAGAACGCGCATCAGGCCGTCACCTATTGACGCTTCAAAAGTAATTCAGTGTCATGCAGTGCATGACATGCTGTTTTTCGGCTAAGTGTAGGATAAGAATCAAGAATTTGATCTAGCGATATTCCATCGGCCAGAAATCTGGCCTTCCATCTATACCGAACAAGTCCCCAATATGAGGAGCCGGCCTTGACCCGCCTTCTATACAGATGGCGTAAACCCATAGCAGGGGGGAACTTACGCAGTTTTGCTATAACAATTTCGGCCTATATAAATAATCAAAAAAATGTGCTCAAATAGAGTCGCTTACATTATTGGCTACATATATCTACATACGGCTAATTTAAGTTTTACTACTCTGCCTATATCTGAGCGTACTTGTAGCCTCGACAAGGACAATAATGAAACCTTCTATTGCTCTCGAACAAAATCGCGTTGCTATACGCGAAGTTACCAGCCGATTTCACACAGCCAATCCACGCGTGTTTGGTTCAGTCTTACACGGCGATGATCAAGAAGGCAGTGACCTTGATTTACTGGTTGATCCTACAAGTACAACGACCATGATGGATATTGGCGCCATTCGTTACGAGCTACGTCGCTTATTAGGTATAGGGGTGGACATACTGACGCCGAAAGCGCTTCCTAATAGCTTTAGAGCACAGGTGCTTGCTGAAGCAAAACCTGTATGAGCAAAATTGATCATTTACGCGTATCAGAATATTTACGCCATATTATCGAAGCTATTGAACGTATTAAACGTTATACGGTAGGCATGGCAGAGATACAGTTTTTTAATGATGAAAAAACGCAGGATGCGGTAGTGCGTAATTTTGAAATCATTGGAGAAGCATGCAATAACATTACAAAGAAGCATCCAGAATTTGCTGCCCAATATAATGAAATTCCTTGGGGATTTGCATATGAAATGCGCAATGCGCAATGCGTTGGCGCATGGCTACCACAAAGTAGATTTTGAAATAGTGTGGAATACGATAGACGGGAATTTATATTCTCTGTTGGATCAGGTTAAGGGCCTTTTAAAAATGATCAAATAAGCAAAGCCATCAGAGCTCTAAGCTTATTTATGTCCTTACGTCGCGCTTGAATTGGTCGGAATAAATTTGAGGCAGGCTATAAATCTGTCACCCATTTATTTGACTAGTGATTGCTTCCTTTGCGCTAAATAAGCGGGCTGCAATAGATACATCCTGATTGCATCCCGATATTCGCCTTCTATAAAAAATTCTTGTAGTAAATCTCCTTCAAACATAAAGCCGCATTTTTTATAGATGTGGATGGCTTTATGGTTTTCTTTATCTACTATGAGATAGAGCTTATATAAATTCAATACGCAAAATGCGTAGTCAATCGCTAGCTGTGTGGCTTGTTCGGCGTGGCCTTGGCCTTGGTAGGTGGGCTCAATAATGATTTGGAATTCTGCGCGGCGGTGGATGTAATTGATTTCCACTAGCTCTACCAGTCCGATCATTACTCCTGCCTGATTTTCGACGATAAAGCGCCGTTCGCCTTGATCATGGATATGTTTATCGTATAGCTGTACTAACTCAACATAGGCTTCGTAAGGCTCTTCAAACCAGTATGACATAATGCCTTGGTGGTTATTAAGCACATGCACAAAATGCAGATCGTTACGCTCTAATGGGCGCAAATGAATCATAGGTAGCTTAGAAGCCTGTTCCTTAGTCGTTGAGCTTGTCATGGTTGTCATACCGCCCCTCCCCTCAAAATCTGTCAAAAACGTGGATCATTCCAATAACGCATTGCCTATTGCTGCTGGGTGCGCGCGCATCCAGCCTATTGATCCGTATGCACTTTTGCATCAGCTCACTCCTGTGGCGCGTGCCTATGCACTGGAAATTGTAGAGTGTACGGGCTCTACTAACACGGACTTACTTGAGCGTTGGCGTACCCACCCAGCCTCTCACCAAGCAGTTATACGGTTAGCTTATGAACAAACGGCAGGGCGAGGGCGGCAAGGGCGCCGTTGGCTAGCTAAGCCAGGTGATGCATTATTATTTTCCATCTCCTGCAGGCTTCCCAAACCCATAGGTCATCTTGCGGGGTTGAGCCTGGCCATTGGCACTGCTTTGCTCTCAGGTTTGCGGACATTTGCGCCTGCGCGCTCGAAACGGCTTGCGCTCAAATGGCCCAATGATGTGCTGCTCGATCAGAAAAAGCTAGCAGGTATTTTGATAGAAACCGCTCAACACACTCCGCACAGTACGGATGCCGTTATAGGGATTGGGCTTAACCTGAATCTCCCTTCTATTCCTGAACCCACCCCTACCGAGCAAGGGTTTATCCCACTTAGCCACGCAGCGTTGAGCCAAATTTTGCCCATAGCCGGTATGACCGATGTTTTTGCAGCATTGTTGAACGCACTCATCCCCGCACTCGAGCATTTTGGCCAAAAAGGGTTTGCTCCTTTTTTACCAGCTTGGCTAAAAGACCATGCTTACACAGGGCACCATGCTTACTTGATAGAACAAGGACAAGAAAAATATAAAGGTTGTGTACTGGGAGCGGATGAGCAGGGAAGGTTATTACTAGAAACCGACACGGGTGTGCAGACTATTGTGAGTGGGGATCTTTCCTTAAGAACGCTCTCTAAGGCAGGGGAAACAAGCGGTGAAAATTAGAATTTAAATATTATTGAACACGCTTGTATACACAGAAACACGTAGGCATTTTTATACGGATATTTGCCTATCGTTTCGCTTCAACACGCCTTTTTTCTGATCGCAGCTCCCGCATTTATAGACACACTCTACACTGGATTACAGACGCAATAGGTCTATCTAATACGCATAGTTAGAGCACTTTAGATTGAATATAAACGTCCATTTGCTTTAACTATTCCCCTTTCAGTTATCGAGTGGAGAAAAATTGTGGAACGTCCCTCTGTTTCCCCCCCTGTTTTCCCTTCTGTTGCTCCCAACACTCCACTGTCACGCGCATCAACACCGCCGCCCGACATAAACCCACATGCAACTCCTCTCCGAACTAGTTTGGTTTTATCAGGCCTGACAACCATAACTGGTGTTGTACTAGTAGTGGGGAGTAAGGCAATGCTTAATATAGCATCTAACATGCTGATTAAAAACACACTGACTAACGGCACTCTGACTAACAACACACCAGAGAAAATTAGCATACTTTTTTTGCAGGAATGTCTGGCATTGGGTGGAGCAGTAGGTGGAAGTTTAGCTTTGTACGGAGCAAATAGTATTCTGGATACCTGGCGTGCAATGCAAGAAGAATCTAGCAACCCCCATAACAATGACACTGCCCCTCTAGTATCAATGGATGCTAATAGCTCAACCTCTTTGCAAGGGGTAACCGTTGAGCGGCCGTAATATATGCAATATGTTTTTCCAGTAAATATAAGTGTTTATATTCTTTAACTGCCGACACACTTAGTCATAGTATGGAGAAAATAATGCCTGATAATACCCTTTCTCAGTTAGCCAATGCGAACACTCCAGCTACGCTGAATTCTATATGCCTGAATATCAGTCCTGAGACGAAACATAAACTTAAAATAGGCACTGGAATATTAGCTGGTATCTCAGCTATAGCATCAAGCGCACCAAAGTTAGTAGATATAGATGCTGCGGAAAACTTTGCAAAGCAATTTGGATCTTTTGGGAATGCAGTATTTGATGCCACGGGGATGGCTAGTATGCGGATTGTTCCCGGACTAGCTGTAGCAGCGGGCGCGGGCGCAATCGCCTATGCTGGTTATCGATGGTATGTAGGGCCTAAAAAGGCTGATGCGGATGCAGTGGAAGCACATGCATTAGAAGAGGTTGTGGTTGGGCGAGAGCGAGAGCTTCCAGCATTACCACCCGCTCCTGAGGCAGTCTATTTATCTAATCGTTAGACCAAGATTAGTGTGCTACTGTGCATGCTCTGCTAATCATGCATTTTTGCTCCACCATAATTTCGAAATGGCGAGTAGGTTGGTGGTGAGGCACGAACCCCAACATGCATACCACGGACTTGTAATCATAACTTTTGGCCTGTACATGCACGTTTTAAAAAGACAGTGGTCATCATGTTGGGGTTCCTTCGTCACCACCAACCTACCGTTCTGACATCTGCATATGTATGTTAAAAGCGGTGATTACAAGTTCGTGGTATGCATGTTGGGGTTCGTGCCTCACCGCCAACCTACGACAATAAAAATTGCTCGGATTTCTTTTTAATATCTCTTTTTGCTCGTTTCTTTATGCCTGCTTCTGCATCCACATGTTATTTATTGATCGATGCTGGTAATAGTGCAGTTAAATGGGCGCTTACTAGGCCTGGTCTTACGCTGGAAGCATTGCATATAGCGCTTCGCAACCCGCCTCAACGCGATGGGATTTTCTGTGCGGTAGGGGCGTTTGCTCATACGCTATCTAAGGCACTTCCTTCTCCCATTGAGAATATACTTTCTAACGCTCCTAATTGGGGTGACCTCCCTAAGCCTGCTAGTGTATGGATCAGCAATGTTGCAGGAGGAGAGGTAGCACAGCGACTTGCACAATGGGTAGACCAATATTGGCCTGGAATTACCCAACACCGTATTCATGCGCAAGCAGAGCAGTGCGGTGTAACGAATGGTTATCATCGCCCCCAACAGTTAGGCAGTGATCGTTGGGCTAGTTTGATCGGTGCGCATGCGGCTTACCCAGGGGTTGCCATGCTCATTGCTACGCTGGGTACGGCAACTACTTTAGAAGC